TTTTATTTTTGAAAACCTAATAATATATATATATATATATATTAAAAAGAACTGGTAAGCAGAGGAAGAATCATCATGGCTTCTGCAAAAGGAATAGAGGTTTGACTCTCAAAAGCTTATAGCCACAACATCTTGTTGGTCTCTAAGGTCTCTAAGGACTTGAATCTAGCTATTTTGCAATGGGAAGTCAGCAACCTTTGGAAGTTCTTTGAAAAGGTTAACCACAAGTGTGGACAAGGCAGATCCAGGGGACATGATAAATGTGGACTTAGAAAAAGCTTTGACATCATCCCTCACCAGTCTCCTGAACTTATTTACAACATTTATATCCCACCTTTCTGCCTACCAGGTGACAAGAGGACATATCCTGTTGTTGGTTAAATACTGGTCAAACAGAATGCAAAGGGCAGGAGTAAATGGTTACTTCTTGCAATGGAGGAAATTAAGGAGCAATGGGGTTCCATGGAGCTTGGTACTGGGACTACAGCTTATTTATTTATTTATTTATTATTTCAACTTGTATCCCGCCTAGCCACAGGACTGGCTCAAGGCAGCTAACAACATTTAAAACACTAAGACAATAATACATTAAAATACATTAATAAATTAGGAATACATAACCACTAGATTGTATTAGTAATAATGGCGATGAAGCCGGCGGCATACACGATACAAACAAAGGCAATAACCAACTGCTGTTTTATGTGGTTCAAGATGTGTTCTAGCGGCACCAATGTCTGTGGTGCTGTCTCCAGTGGCCCTCTTACCGGTGGCGGCGCCTAATCGAAAGCCTAGTGGAAGGATTCCGTTTTGCAGGCTCTGCAGAACTGTAAAAGGTCCCGCAGCGCCCTGATGTTATCTGGGAGCTCATTCCACCAGCATGGAGCCACCACCGTGAAGGCCCTGGCTCTACTAGCGGCCAACTTGACGTCTCTTGGGCCAGGAAAGCATCACGCGATTCTGTGTTCCTGGCCTCAGTGCTCTCTGGGGCACATATGGGGAAAGGCGGTCCCTCAAATAGGCAGGTCCCTGACCATATAGGGCTTTAAAGGTCAAAACCAGCACCTTGAAGCGAATCCGAAAGGCTATTGACAGCCAGTGCAGTGCCTTCAGGACAGGCTGGATGTGGTCTCGTATGGTGAGACCCATCAACAGCCTGGCTGCCACATTTTGCACTAGCTGCAGCTTCCGAATTTGAGACAAGCGCAGCCTCATGTAGAGAGCGTTGCAGTAGTCTAACCTCGAGGTAACCATAGCATGGATCACTGTTTCCAGGTCATTGCGTTCGAGGAAGGGAACCAACTGCCTAATCAGCCGCAGATGGTAAAAGGCTGCCTTGGCAGTGGCTGCTACCTGGGCCTCCATTGTTAAGGCGGCATCCAGGAGCACTCCCAAACTTCTAACCCTCGGCACTGGCACCAATGGCGCCCCACCGAAGGTCGGGAGTGGGATCCCTACCTTCGATCCGCTCCGACTCACTATGAAGTTACTTAGATTGGGAGTGAGCAGTGGTCAAGTTTGCCGTTGAGAATTATTCAGGATAATGAGAACCAAAGCAGATTGTAAAGATCTTCAAAAGACTATCTGCAAACTGGGGACAGAGTGGCAAATGAGGTTCAATGTGTAAAGTGATACACAATGGAGCAAAAAAATAATAATCCAGATTTCACATATACACTACTAGGTTCTGCTGACATTCACTGACCAAAAAGATCTTGGGATCATGGTAGACAGCTGGAAGAAAGTGTCAACTTAGTGTACACAAGCAGTGAAAAAGGCAAACTTGATGCCAGGAATTATTGGGGAAAGAACAGATGACAAAATTGTCAGTATATCATGAGGCCCTTGCAGAGCCTATGGTGCAGCTACATTTGAAATGCTATTTGTATTTGTGGTTGCCATCTCTCAAAATCAATATTGCAGAGCTGGACAATGTGCAGAAGAGGGAAATCAAAAAGTTGCAAAGACCAAAGAAAGACTAAAGACTGTTGGGCTTCTTAGGTTAGTCAAAAGACAACCCAAGGTCGCACTCCCAAGACCACCCAATGACATTTGATATACAGTGGATTCTGAACAAAAGAAACACCTCTTTACTAGATGAGCCATTGGTCTGATCCATCATACCTCATCTTATGTGGGAGTCCAGAGTCTCATTGCTACTACTGAAAATGTCCTAACCCCAAAGAAACCCCCACCCCACTACTTTCAATGGAGAGGACACACAAAGGAAGAAGATTTTAATGTGTATATAGGTAGGCCTTTAAGTATCCGAAGCCCAGATAATTTTAGAGTCTTAATGATTAGGACTAATATTTTACACTAAGCCTAGAAACTAACTGGCAGCCAGCACAAGTATCGGACAACTGACATAATACAATCCCATGGCTCCTGTTAGCAATCCAACTGTTGCGTTCTTCAGTCTCTTCCAAGTTTTGATGAGAAAGGTTGATAATGATGTGATAAATACACACAGATTCTGACTCAGCTGCACTTTCTACGCATCCTTTAAAAGGCATCCCACACAGATCTGTACAGTAGTTCAGCTGGATATAAATAAGGTAGGAACACACTTTTGGCCACAGGTATAAATCTAAGAGCATCCCCATTTTGCAGACCTCAGCCTTGTGGGGAGTGTTACCTATTCTGGATCAGACACATTCCCAGATACTTTGCCTCCTGTGGATTAAGCTTTAGTATATTCACCCTCACCCAGTCCATCACTGGAAACAGACACAAATTCAGAACTTCTGTTACCTCCCTAGAATCTGATGGAAAAAGTTAGAGCTGGGTGATACCAGCACACTGATGATGGCATACCTGTAAGATCCAGGCAACAATCACCAGGGGTTTCATGTATCCCGTGCTATTCTTACTATAAGGTGGAACCCTGAGGCACCCCACAGGCCAATGGCCATGAAACAGAGCAACAGTCTGCCATCACCACTTTATGGAACCTGACACCTAGATAGGACCACTGCAAACCAGTGCCCCATCTCAGCAAGGCGCTCTGGAAATTCCCATGGACATTGATACTGAAAAACATTCAGCGGTCCAACAAAACTAACAGGGATATATTTCTCTTCACCCTTTGTCCGACATAGGCCATCCACTGGGGTGATAAATGAGGTCTCAGGTCAAAAGCTACAGCATTTTTTTGTGCTACAGCATTTTAATTCCACCATTAGGACTAACCATCAAAATAAGCTATTTTTAAAGAGAATACAACTTAAGCAACCCCTCCCCCCATGCAGCCTGATATATTTTCTTGTATAATGCATTCAAACCAGTAAAGAACTACAAGGCATTTTGCTACATTACTAGGCTCATTCTAAAATGTTTTCTATGGCACTAATTAGAACATGAGACAGACCTCTGTGGTACATAATTAGCAAATAAGCTGGCAAAAAGTCATTCAGAAGAACCTAAAGCAAATCAAGGCACATGTTGTAGATTCAATAAGCTGCGCCCACGCTAACTACTAAAAATAATTTTCATAACAATCTCATTTAACGTGGCTAAGTTTAATTAATGGTGCAGCTTACCATTTTTCTGTAAGACACAGAAAGGTCCTTCAAAACATCATCACTTAAAACATCCAAAGCCCTAAACAAAAACCAAACACATTAGTATTTATTACTATTAACAAAATGTATATCCTTCCTTTCCACCCTTCACAAGGGTGGAAAGGAAGGTAGCAAGGGAGCAAACAATTTAAAACATACTTGATAAAAATCACGTATTAAAACCATTAAAATACCTCCCCCCAACACACATCATTAAAACAAACTCTTAAAATATGTACAAAGACATAAAACAGCAATTAAAATACTGGTCAGGAAAGCAGGATCACTGAGGGAATGCCAAACAAAACAAAAAAAGTCTTCATTCACTGGTGGAAGACTGGCAGTTGCTCTAAGCACTTTTATTCAGGTGTGCTCTAATATGCTACAATACACAAAGATCGCTGCAATAGTGCATACAATACAAATAATTATAAACAATAGTTAGACTCTGATAGCAATAAACTTCATGTTGTTTTAATCTTAGTCTTTCAATAACAGGACGACATCGGACAATGAGTGATGACGTCAGGGAGAACAGAGGACGAACTTCCCGAACTTCATTTCGATGTCTCTTTTTCAAACAACGGTTTCAGTTCTGCATCCGTGCATAGCAAAATCTAACAGTGGACTCCCTGGAGTTCATTAATTCTTCAAGAGCTCTTAACAAACAAGTATAATTCTAAGTCAGATCGTCCGACTAAGTCAGATCGTCCTCCCCATTCTATGTAATTAAATACATCACAATAGAATGGAAACCCACCTACTTAAAAACACACACAAACATCACATCTCTCCCTCCATGATACAAGAAATATTCCAACTACCAATTAGGGATTAAAACATATAACATTCAGAATCTCCCTTATAAATAAAAGCTGAATGGTGGTGGCACTTCTCTAGAACATTCCACACGCTCCAAAATCAGTTCGCTCTCTGATCTGTCATTGAGAGGGTCTCCCTATCCACTGGCTGCTTTGCCTGAGTCCTGCCTCCAACATTCTAAACAGTTTGCTCTTCCTCTCCCCCCCACAGCCAGTCAGAACACAGAGGTTATTTGCATATGCAGCCTCATTGGCCTTTGCCTCGGAACACAGCGGTCGTTCGCATATGCGACTTGATTGGCTTTTGCCTCTAACATTCTAAACAGTTTGCTCTTCTGAGGTAAAATGTGTCCAATCTCCAGGTGAGGGCTGGAGATCACTCAGAATTACAACTGCCTTCCAGAGGGCAGAGATCAGTTCCCCTGGAGAAAATGGTGGGCTCTGTATCCTTATATGCTGCTGAGGTGGCGCCCGTATGACAGCCAATGTGACGTAGCAGTCAGGGCTTCAGAGCACGGGAGAGGCTGCAGGTATGTGGGGGTGGAAAGCTGAAGAGTGAGGGGGAAATATAGGTTGATGATTGGCTGGGAAGGAGATAGGGTTGCCAACTCCAGGTGGGAAAGTCCTGGAGATGTGAGGGATGGAGCCTGGAGATGGTGAGGTTTCAGGAGGCGTGGGACCTCAGATAGGTACGAAGCCATAGACTCTACCCTCCAAACCAACGATTCCCTTCTGGGGAACCATCATTGCCAATCTCCAGGTGAGGGCTGGAGATCACTCAAAATTACAACTGTTCTTTAGGAAGCAGAGATCAGTTCCTCTGGAGAAAATGGTGGACTCAGTGTCATTATACCCTGCTGAGGTCGCCACAGCAAATTGACACTGAGTGTCTAAGGCCAGGGCACCCGCCCAGAGTCTCTTTCTAGTGGCCATTGTATTTATTTCCACAATGGGCCTTTTTCCTAGTAAACAATAAAAGTTCACATATCATGTACAAGAAATACATATGAGCATAGACATTATGGCGTGTATCTTTCTGGAGAGAATATATGCCTACCATAAGATGTTGTACACTTAGGAATCCTTTCTATTATCTGGGGACTATTCAATTCATTTTCTGTCACTTGACTATTATACCTTTCCTGACAGCTATTCAGTTCTCCTAACACCTTATTATCTCATCCTTGTTCTCTGTTGAACTCATTCTGATGGCATCTAAGATGGACTCTATTACGCCGATAGGTATTACCATCAGAAGTCTGTACCCTATACGTGCATGGTTGCTGGCATTACTCTATTACTACTGCAGGACACCACTGCCTATTTCCCTCTACCCACACCTCATCTCCTTCTTTCAATGGTTTAAGTGGTTTCACCGCTCGATCATGGAAGTATTTCTGCATGTCCTGGATTTCCTGTAGGGTCTTTTTTATTCCACTTGGTGTTTTGGGACATAATCTCTGCTTGGATGCTGGTAATTTACTCAACTCTCTGCCCATTAACATTTCTGCTGGTGAATACCTCATTCCTGTAACGGGCATATTACGATATTCCAATAATGCTTGATGTATGTCCTTTTTTGAATAGTCTACTTTCCTCATTAACTGTTTAATGGAGCCAATAGCCCTCTCTACCATCCCATTCGGTTTAGGATATCCAGGACTTAGACATTGTTCAAATGCACACTCCTGGGCAAATCGTCTAAACTCCTTACTAGCAAAAGGCATGTCGCTTACTACGTTCCTTGGGATTCCATGACGTGCAAATATATTCTTAAGTCTAAGGATCACTGTGCCGGCAGTTTTATCTGGCAGTGCCACTACCTCTGGGTATTTTGAATAGTAATCCACTACAATAAGGAATGGAAAGGACTGATAGTCAAAAATGTCTACACCTACTTTTTCCCATGGTAGATCTGGGATCTCGTGGGGCATAAGTGGCTCCTTTTGGTTTTTTACAGCCTGTTACAGAGGAGAGGGAACTTGACAACCTAGACGCTATTTACACAGATGCAACACCATGTGGAAGGCACACAGGCAAAAGCACAACACAGGAGTAACTGAAACTGAGAAGTAACTGATGAATGGTAGAGCACACAGCCCTAAGTTTAAGATCACGAGGGAAACTAATGTAGAAAAACCAGAAGTGTTTAGCACATAAATTTAGTTATGCTATAAAGATTTTTCAATGAATCTTATAAAAATCTCCCCTCCACACCCCAATATGTCATTTCCTTCCAGTTCTGAAACCAATCTCAGAAATTCTACAGCTTATACTGGAGGATACACAAAGCTGAATTTGGGGCAGTGTGAACCTACAGAACAATAATGAAATGGAATAATGTTATTTTAAAAAACCTGTTTGGAATTTCATGATAGCACTGTTAAAACGAAAACCAAGTGAACATTGCCACATGCCTAGTGCTGGCTTAGCATCTGAGAGACCCAGGTTTGAATCTCTACTCTGTCATGGAAGCTCGTGGGGTGACCTTGGGCCAGTCAACACACTCAGACTAATCTACTTCACTGTGTTGTTATGAGGATAGAATGGAAGGGAAAACAATGCTGTATGCTGCTTTGGCCCCTATCAAGGAGAAAAAGCAGTGTATGAATAAATAAACAGTGTTGAATTTCTAAACCAATTCTTTTTTAAAAAATTAGAAGGACAAATGATAACTGAACAAGGGGGCTGAAGTGATCTGTGAAGACAGCTGCCAAAAAGGAACCTCTCAGACACCAAGATGCATAAGCATATGCTCCTTCCAGGTTCCCTCTGGATCACTGTGCAATTAAGACAGCCACTGTGCTTACAGAGCCACTTCATTACTTTCCTTACCTTGTTTCAAGTATAGCTGCCATATTTAGCACTATGAATTGAAAACAAGACTGTTTCAGTTGTTCAGCATTATACATTGCTGCAAACTCCAAAAGCTCAGCAGCATTCTTTAAAGTTACTGAAATGGAGAAGAAAAGGTGAATTACTGACTTGGGACCCAAAAAGAATAGCATAACAGACAAAGAAAAGCAAACTTTTCCGTAACACTACTGTTAATAGTAGGCTGCCCATATACATTTGAAAAAGTCCAACATCCAAACCCCAAAGCATTGAAAAAGATTATGGGGTGTGTTTACATAATAAGAGCCTTGCTGGATCAGACCAGTGGGCCATCTAGTCCAGCACTCTGTCTCATACCATGACCAACAGGTTCCTTGTTCTAGGACAAACTCTCAGTTCATGCTGGACACTGGAGGAAGATCTCCTGTGGCCCCAGCCCCACCAACAACAACAAGCATAACCTACAATTGTCCAAACATGTCCATGCCAAGTTGTGAGGGAAGATGGGTAGTGGAAGACAATCTGTTTGCCACTGCTGACCTTCCCACTGAGGAACCACTGATAGGGTTCCCTGGGACACACTTGAAAGGGCACTGAGTTAAGGGATTTAAGTTTTAAGACCACACATCAAAATAATAAATATGTTAAAATCTCACAGGGTTATAAAATAATAGGTAAAGGTAAATAAATGCAATAACAGTCTGCTACAAGACACAACTCACGTTTTTCTGTAATGGCCACCTCACAGATTTCTTTTAGTCGTAACATGAGGAGCTGGTCTGCTACCGCAAGGACACCACAGATAAATTCCACATTCTGAGATTCTAGAAATGATTGGAAATTTGCATCCTGAATGACCTTCCAACTTGTAATATTTAATGTCCACCTTAGCTTCCACCACTTTCTAACATCGGAAAGTAAAATAAAAGGAGCGTCAAACAGGGAGCCTGCCAGATTGCCTCTCTGCAAACAGGGAGAAGGAGAACTAAGAGGATGGTGTACTAAAACATGCATGGATTCTTCACCCCAGAAGTTCGATAGAAATGACTGCTGTCACATTCTCTGAGCTCTCCTTAGCCTTATACATCAATCTTCCTCTGTTTAACAATATTAATTTTCTCCTACTCCAAAAGAAATCAACCCTCATCTCCTAGCCACTCACTTAATAAGTGCCCTTCAGAGCCAGTACTTTATTGCATCTCTCAGCCTGCCAGGTTTACACATAAGCATTTCTCTTGGCTCTCAACTCAGTTTCCTGCTACCCTTTACACATTTCTTTACTACTTGCAGCACTGCCTTCATCCTCCCCAAACATGGTTTACCTGAGAAAAATGCAGAAGAATATCTAAAAAAAAAAAAAAAATCACATGCAATGGTTTTGCATGCCATTACTTTGTCCCATTAACCACGCTCTTCATTATGAATACCATTATCCAGCACTGTTCATTCATCTCCAAAAAGTCCTTCCTCAAAGTACCACAGACACCCCGGCAAGCTATTCAGTGCTATTCTACGAATTCCAGAAATGTTAATGACTCCTCACCTTTTATTGCAACAGCTTCATCTGTATAAATATAATCGAGGATGATCTGCAGGATGTCAGAAGGGAATGGCATTTCCAGAGCTGCAGAACGTGATGCCTAAATGAACAACATCAAAAACCTTTCCTTGAAAATGGGAGGGAGAACACACACTGTTCTTTACCAATGATTCAAATATGATTAGTCAGGTAGTCCATGTGGTACGCTAACTGCAGCTGATATTTCTACAGAACTTCATGGTAACATTCCTTCGGGGGGGGGGGTGAAACCAAGAGATGCATAGACTTGCTCTCTGTAAGGCCCCTGTCCTCTCCTCAGCTGAGACACTCCAATTTGATCCCCAGTCTCCTCTTAGATTTTTTGAAGGGCACCCCCTCAAAAGCCTAAGTGAAATGGGGATCCCTGAGTGCATCTGGCCTGCCACGTCCAGAGCACATTCCATCATGGAGACAGGATGCCATACCCCCAGCTTCAAGGCATGCATAATACCATCATATCCCCACTTCAAGGGATGCTTCATCAAAGCAATATGGGCCATTTCCACTTGATGGGGAAAGTATCATCTCCAAGTCAGCTATTATCAAAAAAAAAGCCCAATATCCAAACCATCCAGGATGGACCACCAAGAGGACAATTTACCTTCATTTCAACTCCCCCCGCTTCTTTGTCAATATCCTAAAAAGACCTATCAACTGCCTCACCTTGGAATGTCAAGCTGCCATTTCCTAATATCCCCACTGAATATTGATGGCAGTTACCTTCAGATTACCCAATCAAACTAAAACTTTGCTCATCTTATCCAATCCTGAACCAGGAATGAAGAGGCCCATGATAAGCTATAGACTTTTTCCCCATAAGAGAACCAGCTTGGGTCAGAGAAAAGTGTGCCATGTTCTCTCACTACCTGGATACCCCCTGAAACTGCTTTGCAGGGCTCCTCTCCTTGTTGGAATTCTGCTGCACAGACTCCTTGCAGTTCTCAATTTCTCACTCATCTTGGATCAGGTAATATTAACCTCTTCCCCTCCCTATTCTTGTCTCTTCCCCCTTCATCATCTCCCCCCATTCTCAGTTTCATGTATAAGCATGTGTTTATTGGGAGGGAGAGGGTGATTTTATTCTGGGTTTTACTTGTATAGTTGTATTCATGGTCTTAAAAGGTTTGCAGTTTTGGTATGCCTCTAGTCATGTATCTGAGTGTAAATTTAGTGTGAATTGGTTGGTCTCTGTTACTCTTTCTCTTGGAAATATTATGTAGTAATAAAAACCTCTGTATGCATTGGCAAAGGATCCCTTGCTTATCTGGCTGCAGACCGTGTAAGAAGTTAATTTCCAAGCCTCTGGGTCCAGTTCAGGTAACATTTCCTTTTGTTTCATGAACCAAAACTGAAGGTATATTACCGCCATCATTTAAGAGGAGGAACTTCTCATTGATCAGGGAAGCCACATTCAGAGACCACAGCAAAGCCTCTGTTTACTCGCAACAGGAATGAACATGACTTGTTTGCCATGTTCATGAAATCTGCCTTCCCACCTGCTCCCCTCATTAGCAGAGGGTATTGTTGTAAGAAATAGCAAATGGCTATCAACTGCCATTGGCACAGTGCAAGTAACCATGACTGATGGCACACAAATAGTTACTTTAAAAGGCCTCTTGTGGTCAGAATTGTCTATGAAATCAAAGATGGAAAAAGTCAATTTTTGATTTATAGCTGGAGGGTCTGCAGTGACAGTGGGGAACGGACCATCTTCCACAGAAGTACCCTTCTTCCAAAGGTAGAAAACAGGCATTGGAGCCAACCCTTGGTATTCTTACCTGGACATCACCTACTGTTCTGTGAGCCAATACCTCCTTTCCCCAAAATCTCCAAATAAACATTTTAATGCATATGGAAGAAGAATGGCAATTCATTTGTGCATTGTCCTGGAAAGCTTACCTCAATCCAGGAGCTACTAAGCATGCTATGGAAGTAGTCTGCAAAAGGAAAAGAATTTTTTATACTATTCGGCATTCACAAAAAGACACAACTATGAACAAGGTAACAGAAATACCTTGCATTATACTTACCAAGTCTTGCACAGAGTATGCATTTATGACATGGGAATTCCTTTCCATCTATAGACTTCATGGTTACATCACAGAGGTATGAGCTAAAAATAATCATAAATTATTTTGAGACTACCTATTGTTAAAAACCAGACAGATCAAATTCAGATTGTTTCTTGTTTGCAACTTACAAAGCTACCTATTGTTAAAAACCAGACAGATCAGATTGTTTCTTGTTTGCAACTTACAAACTTAGCTTTCACAAGGGAAAAAACCCCACCAAAAACATAGGGAAAGCACCCTAATTTAGAAGGAAAAGAGATAAACCAGCGAAGTGGCTTAGCAAAAAATTGCTCTCTACCTGAGAAAAGGGGAGGGGCAGAGCCAGCAAAAGTGCTCTCATATTAAAGAAAATCTGACCAGGCTATTGTACATTTGGTCTGGTAAACTGTTCTCAAACTCACAATTTTTTCTGGTTCATCTTTGGTTTGTTTCCATTTTTTTTATTAACAACACTGATTCGTCCATTTCTCATTCTGACTCCATCAAGTCTGCAGGGAAAGAACAAAATGCTTCAATTGCTACCTTACACCTTTTAACGTATTTACTACATAATGAAAGCTACACTGACATACTATTATGAAATTAATGAGACGATAATTTATTTTATTTATTTTATTTATTCTGGGATTTATATCCCGCCCTACCCGTAAAGCTCAGGGCGGCAAATAATGACAGAACAGAGGGAAGAAAGTTCATGAGGAATGACAGCCATTCAAGACAGACAGGGAGAAAGATTGTTCTATTTCTCTGCACTCCTTCAGCTATTCCAATATATTGTGAAACCCAGCATAGTGTGTTGTTGAAAGCCATTCTTTCACAGGTTCAAAAATTCTGAAAGGTAGCCTGTGATGCCCCACAAACAGAGGTCCAAAGGACCAAAGGCTTCCTGGCATCCCATCCCTGAACATGCGCTACAACGTATCTGCATGTCACTGCATATGATCATAGCTGTCATATTAGAACATCTTATCAATAATCCAGAAACTGAGATATTATATACTTACATTATTCAGGGTATTAGAAAACAAATACGGCAGAGTTAAATAGCTCTGCTTTACTAAAGTACATATTACATGCGGCACTACTGATCATAATTTGCCTCTCTGAAGCAGGTTTTTAGAACTGGGTTTGACTAGGAGGGTTCCAACATTAAGGGCCAAGTCCTCTCTAATGCCATTTAGGAAACTTCCTGCAAAAGAAGTTACTTTGGTTCCATGCACCTGGTAAACTATACTCTAGCAAAAATCCCTTCTGAAGGTAGAGAAATAGGTATAAATCCTTCTCCTGATGACCTGGAGCCAGGGACACAAAGCTACATGACATTAAGATCAACTGAAAGAAGACACCTACAATTTACAGCATACCTTGAACTTAAGCTGTCCAGTCCAAACTTCTTTGCAGCTGCTTGTAACATTTTTATGAGATTCACTTCTTCTCCAACAACCTTGCATTTCTTAGAAGCTGATTTTGGTTTGCTCTTCTGTGTTTCATTTACCATCTGTGCCTGATTACTTCTGTAAACCTCAAATGCAGACTTCTTATTAATATCCTCATGAACAGTTATTTTATTAAAGTTTGAAATTAAGGTGTCCTGGTATTCTTCCATTTTTTCTTTGTATATCATGTTGGGCATGTGACCATAAATCAGGAGATCACACGAGTCTGTGTAAATGTACTGCAGAAGGTACATAAATAAGTCTGGGTGAAGTTTTTCTATCACAAACAGATCGCAACCAGCATCATCTTCATCTTTACGGTAAATTTCAGGAGGATCTAGCCAATCATGATCTGAAACGAAGAGCCTCCTGAAGAAGTCAGAGCGCATTGCCAAAATATACTTGTGCACAGGGAAAACCCTAGTGCCAACCTGAAAAGTCACATCATGGATGGTGTCCATAACTATCGCTTCCTTGAGTAATTTGCCAAAATCTTCAGCAAAGTTAGACAATGACACACTTGGAATTTCGTACAGACTGGAAGACAGAGATTAAGGAATTATTTTGAAGTACTCCTTTTCATTTCAAACTATTAAAATTGTCAAGTACTATAAGAGGAGGAAAAGCTTCAAAATACTATTGTGTGATTCTCCAATCTAATTCTTCAAATCAAAGATCCAAAACAAATCCTTAAGGAATACATAATCCTGAGTTTTCAAGTGTTAGTTAGGCAGTTGGAAGGGGCTTATACATGTATACCTTCAAGATGATGGTGGCTTTGGTAACCTAAAAAAAGATGTAAGTATTCCAGGTATGTAACTGGAGACTTGAAGAATCTTAAAAACAACAACTGCATCATCATTTTTCTGTTCTAAACAAATTTCATTCTCATGATTTTTTAAATTGTTATTATTTTATGTTTATGTCTTGTAAGCCACCTTGAACAAAGTTAGAGGCTGGGTATTAGTCTCCTGAACAGGCATGAAATCATGTACAATGGGTTTAGAATGATAACATTTCTAATGTGCTCAACATTAAACAAAAATAAAATAAAATCATCTACTAGCATTTTAAAGACCAAATGTGGGAAGCACAAAAATCAATTATAAGGAATTACTGCAGCACACTCTACATGGGGCTGCACACTCTATATGGGGCTGCCCTTAAAGACAACCATGAAACTATAACTGGTGAAGAATGCAGCAGCCCAACTGCTGTCAGGAGCTAGCCACCAGGAAATGATGGCACATTTTGAAATTGGTTGCCAGTCTGTTTCCAAGTTCAATTCAAGGTGCCGGTTATGACCTTGACCACCCTTCATGACCCAGGACCCACATATTTAAAGAATTGTCCATAGGTCTCTACGTACCAACTACACTCCTGAGTCAGCCAAACGTTGGCTGTTTCACCACTTAGGGTGGCCCATCTGGCATTGACCAGAGCTCAGGCTTCTTCCATCGTGGCTTTGTGAAATGGGCTCCCTGAAGAGAATATCCTTGGAGATATTCAGGAGGCACTGCAAGGCCTGCTGTTTGCCAGGGTATCTGAGTGGGTTTGAACAGCGGGCATCTTTTAAGCTGTGGGGAAGGGATCTGGGGTTTGTTATTCTATCTCTTGTTTTAGCTGGGGATGTTTTAATTATCGAAAGCTGCCTTGAACCAAGAGGAAAAGCAGGATATAAACAATTCAGTAAGTAAGTAAATAAATTCTGGCTTCAGGCCTTTGTGTTTTAAACACTACTGGCAATATTTCCTCATTCTACAGACTTAGCTTTGGTTTACTAGCACTACATAGCCTACTGTTTTCTAACCAGCTAGACCACAGACCAACCTTATTAAGCTATGACTGTTTTCCTCAGTTGTTGCTACACTTAAGTAAAGAAAGAGCTACACTGATGTGCCAGAACTAACAGCCAGTCAACAGGAATAATCCTATGCACGCAAGCACTGTTCTCTTCCAGAGCTTCAGATAAGTTATTCCCATCAGCAGTTGGAAATATACCTTGTTTTAGGATCTGACTGCAAAACAGCAAAGTTGCATCCATTTGGATCTGTGGTAATACTGACAGCTCTATGAACAAAAGCAAGCTTCTCAAGCCGTATTCGTTCACACACACTGTTTGTATCGTTAATGGACATATCATTTGAGGAATTCTGAAGATTTGACACAATTTCTGTTAAAAATGAAGCATTTAAATTAGTTAGAATGTAATTCATGAAGCAAATGATATTATTGGAATAAATCCACTGATTTGGAATACTGGACTACAGGAAAAGATTCTGTATGTCATGAGCAGTGTTCCCTCTAAGCTGAGTTAGTGTGAACTAGCTCACAGTTTTTTAGTTTCTGGCTCACACATTTTTGTCTTAGCTCAGAAAGGATGGCTCCAGAGCAAACTAATTTATGCAGTAGCCAAATTGCTCGCTCACCACTTTATTGCCAGTAGTACTGCGGTGGCTCAAGTGGTTAAGACGCTGAACTGCAGGCTGTGGAAGGTCAGTAGTTCAGCAGTTCAAGACCCGAGTTGCCGCATGACGGAGTGAGCTCCCGTCTCTAGTTCCAGCTCCTGCCAACCTAGCAGTTCGAAAGCTAGAAATTGCAAGTAGATAAATAGGTACCACTTTGGTGGGAAGGTAACAGTGTTCCGTGCACCTTGGTGTTTAGTCATGCCGGCCACATGACCACGGAAATGTCTTCGGACAGCGCTGGCTCTTCGGTTTTGAAACAGAGATGAGCACCGCAACCCTAGAGTCGGACTCGACTGGCTTTCGAGCAACGGAACCTTTACCTTTTACACAAAGTAGAATTTTTGCTCACAAGACTCCACAGCTTAGAGGAAGCATTGGTCATGAGTGTGATCAGATACATCCTAAATATAAAATCACCTCAAGCCCTTTCTTTCATTTGAAGCTGCACTGGATAGCATCAGAAAAAAGGTATTCATTTCTCTACTCAGGTCAGCCAGAGTAGGCCCTTGACTATTATACTATTGAAACAGTGTAGTTCAATGTTATCGCAATAAGAATATTACTGTATCTAACATTAATGTTGATGGCTTGCAACAATCTTGAAACCGGCAAAACCAGGCCACCCACAGAGAAGCAGATATTTCAGGTATGCATTTGTCAGTTAACCCAAAAACAATCTGCTAAGAACTGAGCCTAATGCAGGAGCAATGGCTAAGAGTCTAAAAAAAGACACATCAGAGGGAGATGGGGAAATTGGTCTACTCAAGCACCTGCGAAGTTATCAAATCTTGAAAGAGAAAGATTTCGACACGTACGTACCTTCCCAACCATTATTTCTTCCTTTCTCACAATCTTTTGTGGGCCACCAGTTTGACTTTTTAACAACTTTTTCCTGTCTGTTTTATGTAAGTTAGCATATGACTTTCAAGAGACTAGATGACACCAGCTAGTTATTTTTTGCTGCTGTTAATATAATCACAGTTAAAAGTTCTAAAACCCATCTATTCAGAAACTCCTAGTTCAGTATTACATACAATATTTTGATTGCATTACAGAAAGTACAAATATCCACAAAAAACTCTGTAATCAGCAGTTATCCAAAACTGCCATGAAAAAGGAGCGAGAGAGCCGAACCTGGTAAATAATACTGTACCTGCCTTGTGGAACTGAACATTTTAAGTCAGGTAACTGAATTTACTTGGGAATTCTTGCATGAGCACACAGACACACACCATGTACTTAAGGCACTAAGGGTGATTCTGCATTTGTTTCCACTTTCACACAGACTGAATCAGAACTGGTGGGGTATGTTCTCTCCCTGAAATGGTATATTTCTGCCAAAGTTAGCATATTAAGAAACCAATGAACTAACCTTTCTTCTCTGAATTTTTGTTCCCATCCATCCACGTTCCTCTGAAAGCTTCACCCTCCTGTGTAACAAACATCAAGTCGTTCTTATTTAAGGAAATATCAGATATGCAGACTTGGCGACCATAGACCCATCGGCACTGCTTCATAGGACTGTTGGCAGATTTCCAGCAAAACACCTAGAATATTAGTGCAATTACCCAGAAGTTGGGAAGGGAGAAAACATAAAATAGAAATCAAATACATAAGGAGGTTTATGGACCCACATTTTTTCAACTCATCAATTTCCTCTCTTATTCTAGTATTTTGAACTGTATCATTCCTGTGCTAAGAAGATGAAATGTCAATTCTTATTTTGATAGTGTATTTGGTAAATTGCTCTTTAGCTATAACTTTGTCCTAACATACCTCCTCTCCTGATTCCCCTAATTTCTAGCCTGAATTGTCTTTTCCTTTAGAAGTTGTAGGTTTCACCAATTTCTCTGTATTTAAAAGAAAACAAAATTATTACTTGCCAGGTATTAAAGAAATCAGGACTGTGAGTTAAACTACTAAGTAGCCAAGAAGCTGTAATGATTGTTTGTCTTTAAATATCCTCCTAAGGATTGGATAAGGCATTTAACAGACGGACTTACACAGCTATTTCAGGACTGGCATGTGACAGCCTTTTAAAAAGCAGCACTAATTGCATTTTCTCACTCCTATAAGACTACTCTTCAGGAAGTCTTTGAACAGTGAAGCGTCACTTCCACTCCAATTGAAGTGAGTGGTACCCTTTTTTTTTAAGTTAAAGGTTTCATTAGGCTAATATACAGGTCAAAATAATCTATATGTTTTGTTCAAAAGAAAAAAATGAAAGTAGCCATTTTGCCACTGTTGTAGCCATCAGCCTTAGAACACAGTATTAGAAGGATGTTTTCAGTGGTCACCTACGCAACTCTATCTGAAGTGTACGGGTAACTGGCCATGCCAAGGGAGTAGGGCCTGATGCCATGATAGGGACCTGCCCAACCCCCTTCCACAGGCAGGGAAACATACCGAGTGTATGCACAGGCTTCAGCCAGATTTCATCGTGGGGAACTGGCATACACAAAGAAAAAGTCCTGGTTGGAATGGGATTAGACTGCAGCACTGAAGATAAAACAACAGAGAGCGCATTCTGTACCTTAGAATGCGTGCTTGCATGACACCTCATACTCATCATAGGAGGACAATGGTCATTACTGCTCCAAGTTCTTCACTGGCTTAAAATGTATACCCATCCTCACACATCTGGCTGCTCTTGTCGCACTTGCAACAGACGGCATGAAGATGTATGGCATCCCTCCCCTTCTAGTACCTCTAATTCAGTTCTGGCAACATCCAAAGCACCAGGTGTGTCCTTGGCTCCAAGTTCTTCACTGGCTTAAAATGTATACCCATCCTCACACATCTGGCTGCTCTTGTCGCACTTGCAACAGACTGCATGAAGATGTATGGCATCCCTCCCCTTCTAGTACCTCTAATTCAGTTCTGGCAACATCCAAAGCACCAGGTGTGTCCTTTGAAATGCAGCCTCTAGGATGCCCAGTAGTTGCAGGAGGAAGCCTGCAGCACCATATTAACCACAAGGAAGTTGAGGGATGGGAGCACCATGAACTAAGGATAACAATCTAAGCCACATGCCAATTTTCGAGCTCAGTATCTATAGGGGTGATTCACTCCTTTCTAATGAAAATGGTCCTTCAAGGATAATTGTACTCAGATTATGCAACTTGTACCTTTCCAGAGAGACTGAATAACTAATATTCTTTCCACACATCTAAATATTAGCTGCACCACTTACTCATAGATATCAGCACATACTATTCAGCAGCAAACATACATTGCATGCATATGCAGCGAGGGAGTCATAACTAGTCTCAGTTCTCAGATGTATTTGTACTGTATGTTTCTGCTCTGAGTTTTATGCTCTGTATTTTTATGATTTTATATTGTTTTATCTTAAACTAAATAAATATGCTAGGAGATATGCTTTTGTCGCAGACACATGTTTGACTTCTACATAGGCACATAAAATGTTGCTCCTGTAATTACGGAAAGGTAAAGGTTTCCCTTGCTCGAAAGTTAGCTGAATCCGGCTCTAGGGGGCGGTGCTCATCTCAAATTTCAAAGCTGAAAAACCAGCGCTGTCCGAAGATGTTTCCGTGGTCATGTGGCCAGCATGACTAAACACCGAGGCGCACGGAACACTGTTACCTTCCCACCGAAGAGGTACTTATTTATCTTCTTGCAATTTCTTGCTTTCGAACTGTTAGGCTTGCAGGAGATGGGGCCAGAAACTAAGGTTAGAGGTGATTTAGCTAAGGGTACTATGTGGCAGGACTGTGTTTGGGACTGTGTGGGTGAGTTTTGAGTTGTTGCAGAGTCCTGGCTGCTTCAGATAGGGTGAGAAAGGGTGATTGTTCAACTATAATTGGATTGCCTGGGTGAATCTGAATAGCTGCTGGCCCTGCCCTCTGCTGTGGGAGGCTTCTATTTAAGAAAGCCCCTCGCCAGAGGCACGAGCCGAAGGGCAACAGCCAAAGGGCTCTTGGCCTGTGGCTCTTAGCCTAGGGACTCTGTAAGAAGCCCAGGAACAGCCAGAAAGCCAGGCCCCTAGTCTCTTTGGGTTCCCAGTAAGATAAGTAGACTTCTACATAAATACAAAGGGTTTTAAAGGGGGGATTTTATATAATTATTATTGTAAAAGCAATTATGAAGCCAGAATGCCAGCACGGAGTTGGGGGCTATCCAGTATTTTGCATGGAGTGTCACATGTATGATTATCTGCCCACTGGACAGAAGTCTTGGGTGTGTGCCCGGTGCAAGGAGCTCCTGGTTTTCAGGGAACGAGTTTGCCGCACTTGCAACAGACTGCATGAAGATGTATGGCATCCCTCCCCTTCTAGTACCTCTAATTCAGTTCTGGCAACATCCAAAGCACCAGGTGTGTCCTTTGAAATGCAGCCTCTAGGATGCCCAGTAGTTGCAGGAGGAAGCCTGCAGCACCATATTAACCACAAGGAAGTTGAGGGATGGGAGCACCATGAACTAAGGATAACAATCTAAGCCACATGCCAATTTTCGAGCTCAGTATCTATAGGGGTGATTCACTCCTTTCTAATGAAAATGGTCCTTCAAGGATAATTGTACTCAGGTTATGCAACTTGTACCTTTCCAGAGAGACTGAATAACTAATATTCTTTCCACACATCTAAATATTAGCTGCACCACTTACTCATAGATATCAGCACATACTATTCAGCAGCAAACATACATTGCATGCATATGCAGCGAGGGAGTCATAACTAGTCTCAGTTCTCAGATGTATTTGTATTGTATGTTTCTGCTCTGAGTTTTATGCTCTGTATTTTTATGATTTTATATTGTTTTATCTTAAACTAAATAAATATGCTAGGAGATATGCTTTTGTCGCAGACACATGTTTGACTTCTACATAGGCACATAAAATGTCGCTCCTGTAATTACGGAAAGGTAAAGGTTTCCCTTGCTCGAAAGTTAGCTGAATCCGGCTCTAGGGGGCGGTGCTCATCTCAAATTTCAAAGCTGAAAAGCCAGCGCTGTCCGAAGATGTTTCCGTGGTCATGTGGCCAGCATGACTAAACACCGAGGCGCACGGAACACTGTTACCTTCCCACCGAAGAGGTACTTATTTATCTTCTTGCAATTTCTTGCTTTCGAACTGTTAGGCTTGCAGGAGATGGGGCCAGAAACTAAGGTTAGAGGTGATTTAGCTAAGGGTACTATGTGGCAGGACTGTGTTTGGGACTGTGTGGGTGAGTTTTGAGTTGTTGCAGAGTCCTGGCTGCTTCAGATAGGGTGAGAAAGGGTGATTGTTCAACTATAATTGGATTGCCTGGGTGAATCTGAATAGCTGCTGGCCCTGCCCTCTGCTGTGGGAGGCTTCTATTTAAGAAAGCCCCTCGCCAGAGGCACGAGCCGAAGGGCAACAGCCAAAGGGCTCTTGGCCTGTGGCTCTTAGCCTAGGGACTCTGTAAGAAGCCCAGGAACAGCCAGAAAGCCAGGCCCCTAGTCTCTTTGGGTTCCCAGTAAGATAAGTAGACTTCTACATAAATACAAAGGGTTTTAAAGGGGGGATTTTATATAATTATTATTGTAAAAGCAATTATGAAGCCAGAATGCCAGCACGGAGTTGGGGGCTATCCAGTATTTTGCATGGAGTGTCACATGTATGATTATCTGCCCACTGGACAGAAGTCTTGGGTGTGTGCCCGGTGCAAGGAGCTCCTGGTTTTCAGGGAACGAGTTTGCTCCCTTGAGGCCAAGGTGGCTGACCTGGAGAAGCAGAGACAGTCGGTTAGGCACATGGAGAAGACTCTAAGGGACTTGTTAGATATGTCCCACTCTGAATACGGCAGCCCTGCCACTGCCACAGAGCATGAGGGTCGAGAAGAAACAGGGCACCGTGCTGAGGATAAGGGGAACATGCCCTCAGAAGGGACCTCTTCTTCAGCTGGTGAACAGGTATCTTTTCGCACCAAGAAACCATCCCTTCGAAGGGAGGAAGGGGGGCTTTTGGTAGTTGGTGATTCGATCCTTAGGCAGGTAGACAGCTGGGTGGCAAACCTGCATACTGACCGTAAGGTGACTTGCCTGCCTGGTGCGAAGGTAGCAGACATTACGTGTGTTCTAGATAGGCTGGTAGATAGTGCTGGGGAGGCACCGACGATGTGGGGAAATGCAGTCGTGAAGTCCTAGAGGAAAAATTTAGGCTGCTAGGCAGGAAACTCAAGGCCAGGACCTCCAAGGTAGCCTTCTCATAAGTGCCACGCGCAGGGCCAGAGAAACAGGCACAGATCAGGAGTCTCAATGTGTGGATGAGACAATGGTGTAGGGGGGAAGGGTTCAAGTTTGTTAGGCACTGAGATGCTTTTTGGAACAAGAGGGAGCTGTACAAAAGAGACTGCCTCCACCTTTCCCGAAAAGGAACCAGGCTTCTGGCGCTTAAGATCAAAAAGGTGGCAGAGCAGTTTTTAAACTGAATCAGAGTGATCCTGGAGTTGTAGTAGATCACTCACTAAAAATGTCCAGACAGTGTGCGACTACAATAAGAAAGGCCAACACTATGCTGGGGATTATTAGGAAGGGAACTGAAAACAAATCAGCCAGTATCATAATGCCCCTGTATAAATCGATGGTGCGAC